CCAAAATGAGGTAGCCTGGAGCGTAGAATGCTAGCCAAAATGAGGTAGCCTGGAGCGTAGAATGCTAGCCAAAATGAGGTAGCCTGGAGCGTAGAATGCTAGCCAAAATGAGGTAGCCTGGAGCGTAGAATGCTAGCCAAAATGAGGTAGCCTGGAGCTAACAATGCGAGGACGAGGAAAATATGTGGGGTTCCTCAAGGCTTCATTCTGGGGCCCCTCCTATCCCACATCTCCATTTCCCCTTGGCCCAGATTCTAACCAGATCAGCTAGCGTCACTATGCAGACGACACACAGCTCTACATTCCGGTGTTGGCAGGTGACTATGAACCATGGGAGCGCTGGTTAGATGCTGAGAACAGACCAATCTGTGGAGCAACCATCATTTTCTACAACTGGATAAAAACCAAACAGGTAATAATCTTAGCTCCCAGCTTCAGCAGCAGCCTCTCCATGAAAGAAGGTCAAAGCCAAGTCCCCATAAAGACAGCAGCAGGGATGCACATGGACTGGATCCAGAACCAGAACCAGAGCCAGCGTGGACCTGGGCTCACCTTGGTGACCACTCGGTACGTGATGAAGGTCTCGATGGTGGTGATCTGGCTCTCTGGGTTGTCCACAGTGATGAAGATGTCTCTGTCCATGGCGTCTGGCTGCTCCTCTTCATCCAGTCGGAACTGGTTCACCATGGAGTCCGGAGATCTGGGTCCTGGCCCGGCTTCAGCCACCAGCCGGTTCTGGACAAACACACAGCAAAGTCAGTGAGAAGCCAATAAGGATGAGAGCAGCCAGACATCCAGTCCAATGACTACAGCCTGGCTCCCTTCCATTGTCTACTTTCCTGATCTCTGTTGCACTGATGACATCATCAATGCTCATGCTTGATGTACGGACATTCTGCCTGGAAAATGAGCCGCTGTCACCTCGTCAGCACAAAGAACAAGCTGACGACACCAGGAAGTAATAAACAGCTGTTTACAACGTGATCAAAGCCTCTTCAGTCCGTCACAGAGCCGCTAACATTTCTATCCTGGAGTTTAGTGTATATCTATCTGGATATCTATATCTATCTATCTATCTATCCATCCACATATGTATATATATATATATACATATATATAGCTCTATTCCATTTTTTGGAGAAATCTGATTTTTTTGCTTTGCTGTTCAAATTTCCAAATATAAGTGAACTGTATGTGATCTCCTGTGAGGACGTTATGACATCACAGGCCAGCGTTCTCTGTGTTTACAGAAGTAAACATGGATGGTAGAACTGGAGCGCGTCT